ACCCACCGCTCAGGGATGGGGGCCAGGGGGGCAATAGGACCCCCTTTAGTTTAAAAGCCCTAACCTGCGACGCCACAGGCTGCTCACTGTTTACTAGACATGCCCCTACTTGCAGTATAGCGAGTAGGGGCATAATTTACTAATACTAAGTAATCTTTACTTAGTATTAGTAAATTTGTCTGAAAGACCAATTTAGGTCTTTCAGCCTTTTGGTAGATAACTCCCTAATACCGTGGGAATACCAAGCGGCTGTAAGAGAAGTTCCAAAATTCCGAAGTTCCGAAGTGTCAAAGTGCCGAAGTTACCGAAGTGCCAAAGTTTCCGAAGTGTTGAATTGCCAAAGTCCCAAATTTCGGAATGCTGAACTGAACAATTTTCCCATGCACATGCCTAGCTCTTTTGTGTGATAAGACCAGCCAGGATATCCTTCACTCTACTTTTGCATAAATGAGCCTTGGACACCCTTGACACATGCTCACTGGTTGTCCTTGCTTGCACCACTTTTGATTGGTACTAACCACTGCACACTGGGAACACCCCACAAGACTTGCCGTTTTGGAGATGCTCTGACCCAGTCATCTAGCCATCATTATTTGGCCCTTGACAAAATAAATCTTTTTGCCTGCCCATTTTTCCTCCTTCCAACACATGAAATTCAATAACTGACTGTTCACTCCCTGCCTAATATATCCAACCCTTGACAGGTGCCATTGTGATGTTATTAACTTCACCTGCCTGTGATTTTAATGTTGTGTATCAGTGTAAGTCATTGTTAATTTTTTAACCATCCCTTTAAAAAAAAAAATGCATCAAATTTAAGGGTATTTTTGGCACAAGCTGGAATCCAATATAAATTTGAACTGTTCCATGATACGTTGGCATGCCCCATGAATTCACAATTTCTTACAGATTACCATGGAAAACCATGTACAGCACAGGTGTTTTTGTGGGTAATGTAAGGAAAATGCATGATATAATCGTGCAATGCAGTGTAGGTCAGTTTGCTTCTGTTAATCCTGACTATAATGCTCTCCCCAGTAAGTGTTTTGAGGAAATGATAAAAAAAAGAACGATGACTGACAAAACCATAAGAACTTTTATTCATGTTGCCTAAAGCAACAAAAATATAATTGTTTTTTCAACCTATACATTTATATTTACATTATTATCTTTATCCTTTCTTTCCCATGGATTTTTTTCTGCTATTAAATGTTAATGTAAGCAGCTTGTCTTTTTTCTTTAATGATAATAACATACATGTGTTAGAAACTAGTCTTGTACTGAACATCTTCCATTATAATAGGAATAAAGGTACATGCCATCTTCCAGACAGATTTTTTAGGTTAGAACATTACCCCATTGCATCTAATTTACAAACTTAAATGCCAACTCATTATTCCATAAGCAGACAATAGCCACAATGGACGTTATTAACAAAAGCTGAATGCCAAGAATAATGATTACTTTAAAGGAAAAAAGTAATGAGGGTGAATTGGATGGTATTTTTTCTGTGCTTCACACAAATTACATTTGTAATTAGTGCTCTGAATAATGATCTAGGATTTATTTATTTTAAGAAAATCATTATCACCATTCAGTAGTATTTTTTATTATGAGGGAGTTCTTTCACAATTCAGAATAAACAATTTATTTTACTTGTTTTCGGTCTTTACAGTGTTGTTGCTGCAGGAAGCAATTTAAAATGTATTCTCTGCTAATCCTAAATATGGTTTATCACAGAGTTTCTATACATAGGAATACATATAGTACGTTTTTTCACGTAATTATCTTAAATCAGAGTTTTAATGGCATCCTTAAAGGGTTATTCCAACCAACATGACCACTCAGCGGTATTAATTCTGTGCAAAATTTACATCTATCATCAGCACACACAGCGTGCTAGTAATAGATGTAGGAAGATTCTCCCTTGCAAGCAGTGTGCCAGCAAGAGGAAGCTATGCTCTCCCCATCCTAATTTTGTGTACTTCCTCTGTATACCTCCTACTTCCTTTCATGGTCCGTTGCTTTTTTAAACTAAATCCCCTCTCTTCCCACTCACTTTTTTACTCCTTTTGCAGGTTCAGAGAGCACACATGCGCTCTGAGTCAGTGAAATGGTCCTATCAAAGGCTTCTCATAGAGGGTGGAGATTTGATTGGACCACGTGAGGCCATTGGTGACGTCACCTTAGTGAATAACCCGGCATAGGTTCACAACTTTTTTTTTTTGTTCAATTTCTTTTTATACTTGGCACGCTTGCCTGCTTTTTTTTTATATCATTTTTATTTTTGTCTTTCTCTTTTCTATATCAAATACATTACAAATACTTTACAAAAACGTTACAGAAAAGGAAAAATAAATTTTTCCCACTTTTATTTTTCTCATTCTGTGTTAATTAAATTTCAATACAATCATGGTTCATTGTGTGTACATTATTTCTTAAACATATAAGGGTAAAAATAAAGTTCCCCTAAACCACCCCCCCCCCCCACCACCATCCTCTGCTATCAATCAGGGAATACCGTCCAAACATATCTTCAAAAACCTATATGTCTTTCTTTTTTACCCTCTTCTGCTGTGGTCCAATTTTTCCAATTATAAACTCAATGTTGTGGAGCTCTTTTTTTGTATCCACAGTCCTCTCTCCATTTTTAATTGATATATTAATTGATTCTCTACTTCCTGCCATCCAGGAGTATCTATGTTTCTCTAATGCCTGGCTATCAAACAAAATCTCTATTATACTTTAACCATAAACCTAATCCTATATGTAACAAAAACAATTCTGAGCAAGGAGTAATAATCTGCCCAATAAAATATACAATTTTAGTTTTTATCATTTCCCAATAAAGCTGTATTGATGGACATTGCCACCATATATGCATATAATCTCCATTATTCATACCACATCTCCAACAATTATTAGGTACTACTGGGTATATCATAGATAAAAAAAGCAGGTACTCTATACCACCTATTCATGATTTTGTAATTTGTTTCTATTATATTTAAACTATGTATTACTTTATTAATATAGTTTAGGGAGTACGTCCAGTCTTCTTTATTAATTATTAGGTTTAAATCTTTTTGCCATATTTTAAGGGCTTTTATATTTATAGACTTCTCCTCCCTTTCTATCAATCTACTACAGTGTGCTAACAACCCCTTATTATTCTCTTTTTGAAAGAGATTTATTAATCTACTAATTGATCTGCATTCCCAATGTATCAATGCTTCTTAATATACCCGTTTACCCTCAAGTAGTTGAATATTTCAGTATTCGGTAAGCTAAGCCATATTCCTGTTGTAATCGTCTAAAAGGCTTTATTTCCCTGTGAACTATCATATTCTTAATACTTGTTATGCCTAAATCTTTCCATCTCTCTAATTTTATGTTTTGAATATTATATTTTAAGATCTCAATATAATTTTCCACAATCACTTTATTCTTTAGGCCCATACTTTTTCTATTTTTTCCCCAATTCTAGGATATGTCTAAGATGGTTTTGAGGAATAGGTTAAAGCTTTTTTCCTTCTTCCTTGAAAATTGTGTTTTATCTGGCTCTACAGTTGTCCAAGAGAATATACTTATTTGGCAGTCTAGATGGGCCGAATGGTTCTAATCTTCCGTCACATTCTATGTTTCTATACTTAAGTTTTTACAGTTCAATATACTTTTGTTCAATTTGACACCAGCTTGTCTTAATACTGTTTTTCTGTTGGATTATTATAGCGTGTGATAGTCTACTTGCCCTATAGACTTGTTCCACATTGGGCACACCAATACCCCCTGGGGCCTTAGGGCCTTACCCTGCCATACAAATTTCCTGAATGCTGTCTGTATCATTGTTAGCCAAGCCTCTGGGAAATTAAGTGGAATAAGTCTTAATAGATATACCCATTTAGGGAAGATATAAGATTTCAAAATATTTATTCTACACCACCAAGAAATTTGATTTTTTTTTCCAATCTATTAATTTTTTATTCATTTGTTTTAATATAGGTGATGACGTGACGCACGCATGCCTCGCTGAAGATGGACATCGGAGAAGTCGGGTGAATAAGAGTGAAAGGAATACAAATGCTCGAGACTACAAGATAGAGGTACAAAGGCTATAAAGCTACAAATATTTGAAGGTACTGAACAGAACGATACGTCCCCATTCTGCTCACCAAACAGAACTGTGTATATGATATCTGACTTCAGAAGGCAATGTAAATAATGGTGATGGAGAAATAATATAGAAAATCCACACATATGTGAGAGGGGGTAGGGGAAAAAACTAAAAGGAGAAGTTTTAAAGCTCATAGAATGCATTTAAGAAAAGCAACATTTAGAATATAATACCCCTGTAAAGATCTAAACAATAAAGATCAATCAAATAGCCCAGAAGGAAAGAAAAGAAGATTTAGAGGCTATGGGCTTTTATGCATATCAAAACATTCTGTATAAATAATCAGATTCATTTGATCAATCTCCCACTCATATTCATGAATTATTTCATTGATATATAAGCATTCAACTAGCCACAGCCAATATTAATGCCGATATCTACCACACTGAAATACAATCACACAGAGGAGAAAAGGGGAGAGTGAGGAAGGGGAAATAAGGAGAGAAAGAGAAAAACATAAGAATATACTTGCTTCACTTGAAAAGGTATCCATTTAATTAAAAATGGCGATACAAAGAACTGACGCTAAAAATACTGTAAAAAAATATAAAAACAATGAGTCAAAAGAGGAAAAACGGTTATCACCATTTTTTTTCCCCTCGGGCGGAAAAAAGAGATAAGCTTCAGTAAAAAGAGTACTGGATACCAGAAGCCATCACCAGACTGATCCGCAACTTGGAACAGGATGTCACATTCACTGTAGCGGCTGTGCTTGCTTTTGGCGTTGTCACCCTGCTGCTGCTCGTCTGTCTGCGCTGCAGCGTAACTTCGGCCTTCCCGCTTACCACCTCATGAGACTGTGCGAGCAGCAGCAAGCGATAGTGGAGTTTCAGCTGCAGCACTCACGGGTCAGTGGCTCTGCACCAGACTTCCCTCAAATTGATCAGAGTTAAAGGATTTCAAGTGGACTCATTACAATTACAGAGACCTGTATTGTTATTTGTCGTCACTACCTTCCCGCGTCGGGAGTGGGTCATTTGCGCGCCTGCTGCCTTCCTTGCATGTGGTAGCCATTTTTCAGAGTCCCTGTACTGAATGGAAATCTGATTCCCCATTACCCATGTTCACCATGGTAGGCGCAGAAACTGGCATCGAAAGTTGATATGGATGACATCCGCATGCAAAGTCGCCGCCACGGGGATGTGCGATTGGCCCGAGGTTCTTTAGAGTCAACAAAGTTCCTGCGCAACTATAATGTCAACAGCTACTCTGCGGAACAGAGTTGTCTTTTTTTAAATGTCCTAATATTTTGTGGTCTACCCCAATTAAAATAAATATATATATATATATATATATATATATATATAAAACAGTGTTGGCTACCTCATCCTCCTCCTCCACCGCAACGGTCATCGCCTCCTCAACCTATGAGTCACTTAGTATAAACTAGGTACACATTAGCAGAGGCTTGTGAAGGTCTTTTCTCCATGCATCAGGACTGCAAGAAATGCACCGCAGGCCGCAAATGTTTCTTTTGTCCCAATATTTTGTGGGCTACCACAATTAAAATAAAATGTATATATATATTTGTGTTCGGGTCATTCTCATATGATATGGAATAAGATGGGTTGTAGAGATGTAGCTTTTGGAATAATCGGTTGAGGTGTGCCGAAACCGACGTATGCTGTAGGCCGGTAAAAAGTGGGTTTACATAGAGGAAATATGAACAATGGAAGTGGAGGGTGGGGCTATTCGTCTGACCAACAAAGGTAAGTAGGGAAAGGGGGGAGTCCCTTTTATAGGTCTATAGCCCCTCCCACAACTTCAGGCCATGCCTTCCAATTTGTGTTCGGGGCATTTTCATATGATATAGAATAAGATGGGTTGTAGAGATGTAGCTTTAGGAATAATCGGTTGAGGTGTGCCGATACCGACGTATGCTGTAGGCCGATAAAAAGTGGGAAAAAAGAGACATATTAATGCAAAACATTATACAGGGTGCATTTATTAACCATTAGGTAGACTTTTTAATGAACGCTTCTTAATTCCTGAATCGGCTGTGGTATGTAAGTCGCATAAGCCTATGATTCTCAGCAGCCCTGTGACTTAACTTGTGTGGGGATGTCTTGGCTATAGGCCGTGGAGGCTGCTCCTATCCTAAAAGAGTGCCCTGAGTAGTCGCTAGGGTTTAGTTTGAGCCCGGTGAATGAGTAGGTGGACATAGTGCATGAACTTACCTGTGGGAAGGACAGTATCGTACAGCGACAGTAATGGTTCAGTGGTGCGTATGGTGGCATGCCCAAGAACGTAACCAGTAACTTAACCGGGCACCCAGCATTGCTTGCAAGGTAGTAGGTTATATGCACTGGCTCGCCCATCTGACTCGTCTTAGTTTTAGGAAGGGACCGGACATAGTGGTCTGTGTGTTTTAGAAGATAAGAGGTAAACAGGCACTCTTGTTTATGATGTTGGCCACTGATAGCGAGTTATTTTTGGGCCTGAGAAAGCCGTTTAAGGCTAGATAGGTAGCAGTTTTGATAACTACATTGGTGCGTAGCTCAGAAGGTGCATGGTCGAGTGGTTCTGACATGGTTTGAACATTGTATGTCTATGGCCATTATTTAGTTTTAGCGGGAATGTCCGCTTGGCTATGTCTCTAAGCAAGGTATGGATGGGGTAGGAGGATAGGAACCCTTGTTGTTTGGGAAGGAGAAATACGTAGAGATAAGTTTAACTGTGTTGTGCGAGAATTTTTAACTTAAGGTGGCAAAAAGAGGCGAAGGCCATAAGTGGTGAAACCTCAAACCAGCTATCTAAGTGATGGTCCGACATGAAACGTATTGTATAAGTGTAAAACCCTGTAGCAAGCGTGTTGAGTGCTGGTGGACAAGGCCAGTTTTGTCAGAGCTCGGCTATGTTGGCGAGGTTCATGTAATCCATGACCTTGTCCATAAATGACCCCCCTGCCATGGCGGCTGTCACGGCAGCTGCCACAATAGTTTACCATTATGTGTGGTTAAGAACGTCCACCATATGTGTAGGTCTGCCGTGGCTTGGTTGTCTAGGGACAGCCCCTGATCATCATGCGGGAGTGTGCAAAAAGCAAAGTGGTCTTAGATGAAAGCGCGGCCTGTGGTATGATGCGCATAGCAAAATTTAAGGAACCTGGTAGGGATTGTAGTTCCATGCGGTTGCAAGTACCAAGCAGGAGGTGGTAATTGGTGTTGTTGCGACTGTTCCAATTCTCACGTGGTAACTTGTTGGCATGGATGCTGAGTCAAGTTGTATGCCCAGGAATGTAACAATAGCGTCTGTGTCTTCTGTGACCTTAGGGAATTCTGGGACACCCAAGTGTTCAGACTTACTAATGGCTTCCTTGAAGTTTCTAGAGGGAATGGCGTTCCCTTTGACAAACAATAAATCATCTTGTGAGTGTATGACTGTGGGGCATCTGGATATGTTTAACCACAACCAGCAAAGAGTTCAATGAATATATTGAAGATTATGGGATGCTCTTGACCCGAAAGTTATACAGGAGAAGAAATATATAACTGCTGCCCATAAATGCCCTGTAAGTGCCAGTGTAGGGTGGTAGTCTGAAATGCGTTTGTGATATCAGTTTTACTTAACCAGGCTTCCCCCCCTGCTTGAGTGATAGCTGTAATGGTATGAACAATGGTAGCATACTGTAATGAAAACTCCTCTGAGGGTATGAGGGAGTTGAGACTTGAGGTAGCCGAGGCGTGAGGTGCTGAAAAGTCTATGATCAGTTACAGTGTGAGGGAAGATTCCCTGTGACAATCCCAATGGGATTGCGCCACACTGTAAATGGTGTAGATCGGAGAGGCCCAGGTAGAAATCTTTCTGCTATTTCTTGGGCCATGAGTGTAATGCCAGCTGTTGGATGCTGCTGTGATGACTGCAAGTTATGGCATTCTAGATTCCCCCAAAAGTATATGGCAATACCTGTACAGAAGGCCTTTAAAATTCGGAGATTAGGAAATAAACTAAATATCTGGAAGGGTGATGAGTTAGAAAGTACTGGAAATGCATAATGTTTACAGACGTGAAGTAAGGTTCAGGGTACATTTATTGGGACACATGGTTTTGCATGTGCCCTGACATATTGAGAACATGTCTGCAACAGTCTGCATGCACTGAAACTACATGTGCCAACAAGGAAATTGTTGCATACTGGGATTTGCCAAAGAGAATGAGATGACCCAATTTGTCTCTGGTAGTTCTCTACGTACTACCAAAGGTGCTAGAGCCTGGAGCCTGAAACGTGATCGTCCACTATGTTGGGACAAAAATTGTCGTGTGGGACTAGCAACATCTTCTCCAAGTGAAAGTGTGTTGACTCTAGCTGGAGTGTTAGATAGAGAGAAATCTTTACCACCTGCTTGATACATACTAAAAAACAGATAGCGATTATTATATGAACCCACAGTGTGCTAGTACTGGCTTTTATTTGGTGACAGGTGAGGTCCTGCTAATTGCCAAGTGACTTGAGAGGCTCTACCTATGCAATGGGGATTTTTGTGGCCACCAACGTGGTGGCAGGATGTTGGCCTCTCGGTGACTGTAACCAGAAAAAAGGGGAAGGGAGTGACAGGTGAGGCCCTCTCTATATGCCATGCGAGACGGCTAGCTCACGAGTGGCCCGATGGGTGTTTGCCTCCGAGCATTGAGGCGGGGTGTTGGCCTCACGGGACCACTATACGACAGGCATGGATGCCAAGAAAGGAGAATACCTATTGGAAACCTATAGTCCCTAATTGCCAGTACGCTAAGGATATACCCAGGGGGAAACAGAAAATGTATGTATATACCACATGAGCAGGTGTATGTACCAGGTAGTATGATTAGATACCCTTACTGGTCGTAAGGGTTATTAATACCTGTATCTTGGACGGGTAAAACAATGTATGAAAATTGAATATAGACATTTAAAAGCGTATACCCATATGTGTGTTATGCAAGTTTAATAGAGCAAAGTGCTCCGTCCCAATGTTTATTGTATGCTTGTAATGCCCCTGTTTGAAGGAAATTAACTTGTCAGGAGTGTTATATCATGTGTGATATGGAATACTACTGTACCCCGAAACATGAGTGTAGTGAACCATGACTGGCAGCTGAATAACCTAACGTGAAAATACGTAATTGGAAGGACTTATATTTTAAGCTTGCAAACATGTAAATATTCCGTATTAGACTCTGGAATCCTGCATAGTGCTTTAAATAGTATGTGCATTCTTGGGTAAATGTATGCGTATTGTCAGTAAATGTAACTAAATGCCTATGTAGGCAGGTATGCAGGAATGATTATATCACAGCAAGCATGAGTTGTAAGGCAGTGTTATTGTGTAATTATAATTATAGTGGGAATGTTATGAGGGTAATAACCATATGTCTGAAAAGCCTGTACTGTTTGACAGATAGGAGTCAGTATAAAAGCAAAAATGCTGTAGTTAGTTTGGTTGCTTATGAAGTGAAATAAAGTCTGAGAAGCCTGTAGTATATTGATTGACCGGTAGGGGTCAGCATTTAGGCAAAAATGCAGTGGTTCGTTGGCTGTACATGAAATGCAATAATGTCTGAGAAGCCTGTAGTACACTGAATGACCGGTAGGGGTCAGTGTGTAGGTGAAAATGCAGAGGTTTATTGGTTTGTACATGAAATGCAAAAAACGTCTAAGAAGCCTGTAGTACACAGAATGACCGATAGGGGTCAGTGTGTTGGTGAAAAATGCATTGGTTTGTTGGTTTGTACATTAAATGCAATAATGTCTGAGAAGTCTGTAGTACACTGAATGACCGGTAGGGGTCAGTGTGCAGGCGCAAATGCAGTGGTTCGTTGATTTGTACATGAAATGCAATAATGTCTAAGAAGCCTGTAGTACACCAAAAGACAGGTAGGGGTCAGTGTATAGGCGAAAAATGCAGTGCTTCGTTGGTTTGTACATGAAATGCGATAATGTCTAAGAAGCCTGTAGTACACCAAAAGACCGGTAGGGGTCAGTGTGTAGGCGAAAATGCAGTGCTTCGTTGGTTTGTACATGAAATGCAATAATGTCTAAGAAGCCTGTAGTACACCAAAAGACAGGTAGGGGTCAGTGTATAGGCGAAAAATGCAGTGCTTCGTTGGTTTGTACATGAAATGCGATAATGTCTAAGAAGCCTGTAGTACACCAAAAGACCGGTAGGGGTCAGTGTGTAGGCGAAAAAATTGCAGTCGTTTATTTGTTAAACAACATGAAATGCGATAATGTCTAAGAAGCCTGTAGTACACCAAAAGACCGGTAGGGGTCAGTGTGTAGGCGAAAAATTTTATTTCGTTTGTGGTTTTAAACAAACAGATTTTAACCCAACAGATTTTAACCAAAACAGATTTTAAACAACACATTTTATATGAACAGCTAGGTGAGTATAAGGTAACGAAATAAATAAATGAGGACCTGTGCTGTGCTGAACGCCGTGAGAACTAATCCTGGCGCGACAGGTGGGTCAGTTTACAGTTTGAGAGTCCCTGAGACACCAAATGCGATACTAACCAGAGAGAAAGCCACTGGATTAACGGAAAACCCTGCTGCAGGAATCCTGTACACAGCTTGGAGTAGGAGACCTCATGGAGCAGAGGTGAAACCAAAATGGCGTCTTGTATGACCTGGAAGTGGATCTCATGCAAATGCTGACCTTGAACAGTCTATTCGTCTGACCAACAAAGGTAAGTAGGGAAAGGGGGAAGTCCCTTTTATAGGTCTATAGCCCCTCCCACAACTTCAGGCCATGCCTTCCAATATATCAAAAACAGTGTTGGCTACCTCATCCTCTTCCACCGCCGCTTCCACCTACACCGCCACGATCACCACCTCCTCAACCAATGGGTCACTTAGTATAAACTATGTACACAATAGCAGAGGCTTGTGAAGACCTTTTCTCCATGCATCAGGAGTTGAGCTCAGTTTGAACAATGAAATGAGAATGCCCTGCACTCCAACCCTTTCTCAAATGGATAATTATGTTGCTCCTCCTGACAGCCATGCTTTAGATTTTGATTTATGTTCTTCCAAAGCTAAAATTAAAGATTCCATCTAGTGCTATTTTATGGCTCAGCTGTATTTTTAATGTTTATGTTATTTTAAGTGATTTCCCTACCCACATTTGTTTGCAGGGCACTCTTACCCCATTTTACTTGCTTTTTTCAGCTCTCTAGCTCTTTCCAGGAGTTTTTTAGAGGCATTTTTGTGGCCAAAAGTTCAGGTCCCCATTGACTTCAATAGGGTTTGGGGTCTAGTTTGGGGTCAAGTTCGAGCCCAAACCCAGACTTTTTTTCAAAGTTCGGCCGAACCCGCCGGACCCGAACATCCAGGTGTCCGTTCAACTCTAGCTTTTGACACTGTTGCACATAGAAGGCTTATCAATAAATTGCAATCTTTAAGTTTGGATTCCAATGTTGTTTGATGGGTAAGGCAGTGGCTGAGTGACAGGCAACAGAGGGTTGTAGTCAATGGAGTATATTCAAAGCATGGGCTTGTCACCAGTGGGGTACCTCAGGGATCTGTACTTGGACCCATTCTCTTTAATATTTTTATTAGTGATATTGCAGAAGGTCTTGATGGTAAGGTATGTCTTTTTGCTGATGATACCAAGATATGTAATACGGCTGATGTTCTAGGAGGGATAAGTCAAATGGCAAATGATTTAGGTAAACTAGAAAAATGGTCAGAGTTGTGGCAACTGACATTTAATGTGGATAAGTACAAGATAATGCATCTTGGATGTAAAAAATCAAGGGCAGAGTACAGAATATTTGATATTTGAGTCCTAACCTCAACATCTGAGGAAAGGGATTTAGGAGTGATTATTTCTGATGACTTAAAGGTATGCAGACAATGTAATCGATCAGCAGGAAATGCTAGCAGAATGCTTGGTTGTATAGGGAGAGGCATTAGCAGTAGAAAGAGGGAAGTGCTCATGCCATTGTACAGAACACTGGTGAGACCTCACTTGGAGTATTGTACGCAGTACTGGAGACCGTATCTTCAGAAGGATATTGATAATTTAGATAGAGTTCAGAGAAGGGCTACTAAACTGGTTCATGAATTGCAGGATAAAACTTACCAGGAAAGGTTAAAGGATCTTAACACGTATAGCTTGGAGGAAAGACGAGACGGGGGGATATGATAGAAACATTTAAATACATAAAGTGAATCAACACAGTAAACACATATTTAAAAGAAGAAAGACTACCACAACAAGAG